AATGCCTGAACTGAGACCTCTCCCAATCAAACTAGGATTCAAGGGGGCTAATGGTCTTTGATCAGGGAACAAGGAAGACCTCTCTTATAGCTCAGAAAAATCTCTGAGCAGTACAGAGTGAAGGTATCTGCCATGAGAAGTGGAGACCCCAAGCCTACATTGTGTACGTGGTGTGAAGTCTGAATGTGCAATACCCAGGTGTTGGGACTCCTAGGCCAAGGTTGTTGACATTTACACTACTAGGACCCATGGAACTTCCAGGGCAGGGGCTTGGCAGAACAATGCAAAGGTGGTGGAACACATCCACAACCCATGGTGTGTGAAACTCCCACAGTACAGACAATATCTGCTTAAGACTCCTTATGACAAAATAAATAAGCCACATAAGGAAATAAACCACATAGAGGTAAGTCAGAAGATGCAAGAAATGGGAGGATTGGTACTCTCAGAATTAGAGCTAGAAAGCACCGAACAACTTAAAAGATTATAAAATAGATATAATCAGCTCAGTGCTTAAAGCACAGTGGTTACGGAACCAGCCACATATACCGAGGGTGGCGGGTTCAAACCCAACCCGGGCCAGCTAAACAACTATAACAAAAAATAAAATGAAATAGATATAATCAAAGTACATAGAGACACAAAAATAAAGGATACTTATAATAATAAAAGACTAGGACACACACAAAAATAACAGGCTGATGATTAAAAAAGCACCAAACAGTACTTCTGAAAATTAAAAAAAAAAAAAGGAACCGCTCATATTGGGAAGGGATTATTTTATTTTATTTTATTTTATTGAGACAGAGCCTCAAGCTGTCCCCCTGGGTAGAGTGCCATGGCATCACAGCTCACAGCAACCTCCAACTCCTGGGCTCAAGCGAGTCTCCTGCCTCCGCCTCCCAAGTAGCTGGGACTACAGGCACCCGCCACAACGCCCGGCTATTTTTTGGTTGCAGCCGTCATTGTTGTTTGGCAGGCCCGGGCTGGATTCAAACCCACCACCTTAGGTGTATGTGGCTGGTGCCTTAGCCACTTGAGCCACAAGTGCCAAGCCGGGAAAGGGATTTTAAACAGCACATTACAAACTGCTATAAGGAAATGAAAGTGACAGACCCTTTTAGGAAGTTTCCTAGAATGTAGCCCTTGCAGATAGAGAGAAAAAAGAGAAGAAAGATGAAATAAGATAGTAGGTTTCTAACAGGAGTTCTAGAAGGAGAGAATCAAGAGGTAACAGACAAGAAATTCTAAATGAGAAGAACTATACTGAGTCCTAAACAATATAAAATACAAATGAATCCACTCAGACACAATGCAGTGAAACTGTAGAACACCAAAACAAAAATAAGGTCTCAAAAGCAACCAGAATGAAAAGACAAACCAAGCTCGCTGAGGCTGCAGAGAGGAAAGATGGGAGGTCAAGCAGCTAATGGCAGAGAGGACAGTTAGTTCAGGAGCTCCACAGGTCTGGCAGTGAGAAGGAAGGTAGCGGTGGAGATGGAAAGAAGATAGTCTTCTGGACAAAGTCCTTCATTCTGTGTCCAAACTGCAGCTGATTTTGTGAGGACTTTTTTTGCTTATCTGTGGTGGTCAGGTATTACAAAAAGTATGCACAGACTTGTTTTTCTAATCAGCTTTTGTCAGTGCTTGTGTATTTACTGTGTGGCTTAAGACAACTTTTACTCTTCCAATGTATGGCAAAGGGGGGAAGAAAAGGTTGGACACTTTGGAATTCGACATAATTCAGAAATAGTCACTTTCTTCATTGTTACCGCCACGGCACTCAGTTCTTACCACTGCCAGAGCACACATCATCCCAGAGGGGGCTAGAATTATTTTGCTACTTACACAAACCCCCTGAGGATGTGAACTGGGTCTAATTTATCCCCGCTTTCCTAGTATCTAGCACAAAACATTGTATAGAGCAGAGAATTAGCAAGTGTTTAACTGAAGTCTCATAAATCACTTATTTGCTCTCCTAGGCCTTATTCCTTGCCCTATGAAGAGATTGTCAAATATTAATTTGAGAAAAATTACTCTGTCTGTATTTATTTATTGGATTTAATATTAAAGATAGGCACAGTTTTCTGCAACAGAGAAAAACAAGGTGGTCCTTGGGTCCATGAGTGGTGAGTGGTACTACCTGTCGGCAAGGTGAGTCTCATATCTCTTAGATACCGATTTGAATAGCTTTGGGGAGGCTGACAGAATTATTTGGGGAAGAGAGATTTGCCAATTTAACTCCAGGCACAATAGGGTAGTTTCTCTCTTTCTAATGACCTCAGGGCTTTAAGAACATTTACCTGAGAGTTGTGCTTCTAGTCCAAGAAAAGACAGGGTCCATGTCTCAGGGCCTGACCTCCCTGGAGCCCAGAGGCAGAGATTAGCCCCTTTGCATAGAAGAACAGGATGACCTAGAGCCAAAGATCAAGGCTACCAGGATGTTTTAAGGAAGCTGATCAGAGAGTCCAGGGAATACAGAAGCAGAGCGCCCATTTGAAAGGAAAGAAACTGCCCAACAGCCTCAGCACTTACTCAGAAGAACTTTTTTTGCTGACAGATTGAATTTGGCAAAAAGAGATGAATACTTAAATGATTACAAATTATACTGAGCGGATACCCTGAAGAGAAGAGTAATATTTTTCAATAATTAGTTGCACCAAACTAGTATTCAAGCCAGGTTCTCTCACATGTAGAATCTCATCTGCCTGCTGCTATTGTCTTCATGTTACTTGGCCTGAAACAACAAACAGGGCTCCCTAGGATCTGGGCTGAATATCCTCATTTCTGAAATGCCACTATTACACCAGTATTTGGACCAGGCATTTTAGAGGAAATGGTACTAAAAGGGAACAGAGAAACACAGAGCAGAGCCTGGGAAGAGACATCATGGTCAGGCTCATGGGGTCTTCCACGTTTCACTTCACAATTCATAAGTGGGGTGAGGAGTCTGCCTTTGAGCAGAGTGCATCAGGGAAACTAAGGGCTGCCAGGGGCATGTGCACCAGCCTCTTCCCTAATCAACACACTGCTAGCTGTACCCCTGCTGGTTAGGAAAACAGAAGGAAGTCATGAGCCGATGATCTGTTTGGGAAGGAAAGACAGCCAACACTTCCTGTAGGCATTTCTATATGCCAGGCTGGTGGTGATGCACTTTAACATGACTTCTGTACCACAGAGGTACAATCAGTCCCATTGTTTTGAACACATGAAGAAACTTGAGGCTCAGAGAGATTAGAAAAGTTGTCGAAGGATTGAGAAGGAACCCCAAGACTGACTCTAAGATGAACAAGGGAGAGTCAGAAAGAGAGTCACAGAGGCATTTGATTTCCATAACTTTCTAGATCATGGCTGCTAAATGCTTTCTTTGACAGGTCTTTAGGAGCAAAAAATTATCTGTATTTATAACCCTTACATTTTCTTCCTACATTGCTTGCTCTGATCATGTGCTAGGTGCTACAGATGATAGACCAAGACACAGAGCTAAGCTATTTTTTCTTCTCACATTCAAAGGCAACCTAAGTTGTTGGCATTAACATTTGCATGGCTAAGACATGACGTAAAGAGCCAGTGCCTTTCTCCTATTGAAGAAAAACTCAGCAATCTTTATTCCACAGAGCAGAGTCAAGTCAGAATTGGTGTTAAAGAAGACTCGATCAATCTTTCCTATGATTAATTTGCTGGGAATCAGGGGTGCACAAATGCTAACTATAGCATGCTCAGATAATTTATATAGATAAATTACAAAGCATACCAATAATGCAGTGAATGGAGATTTGGTCATGAGGGCCCCGCCCCATAACCTATCTTCTACCCAAAACAGAGCAAGAGTTCTTGAGGAAGACATGAGCTTCTCTTCTGGAAGATGATGTGCAGTTCTATTGCCATGTGCCTATTTGTTTCCTTCCACTGGATGAAGTTAAATAGCCTGGACATTTAAATGAGGTTAGAGTCCATTGTACTCGAGTCCTAGTTAAGACTGCCTTTGTCATTGACTGGGTTTTCTAAGAATAGCAACTTGGGATAATTGTCCTTATCAGTTCTTTCCCTAGAGTAAACATGGTAACGTTGACTGCTTCTCACCACTGTGGCTAGTCATCTTGAGTAAGTTACTTTAGTTCTCTAGTGCCTCAGTTTCTGCAAATACAGCAATAAACGAATACAGATCAAGGTGTTATGAGGATGAAATGGGATTAGCAAACGTGACGTCCCCAGTACTCTACCTAAACCACAGAGTGCTCTGTGGCAGCTGCTATCATTATCATCATTGTCATCATCACTATCAGGGTACATTTCCTGTGCCTCATTTACCACTATTTTCACTGTCTTACAAACAGAAATACATAGTCAAGGAAGAAAGGAGGGGCTATAAAATTATGCCAGGTGCTACCTTTCCAATGAGGTCATCATCCCCCCTGCCCCCCCGAGACAGGGTTTCACTATATTGCTCAGACTGGATTTGAACTCCTGGGCTCAAATGATCCTCCTGCCTCAGCTTCCTTAGTAGCTGGGACCATAGGAGTATGCCACCTGTCTGGCTAAGGCCACCAATTTAAATCTGTTTAAGTACCCAGAAATCTCCCAACTATAAAATTCACAAGTTAGACAATGGTAACAAAACCCAGAAACATAAGTATAGTTAGACAATGATTAGAGAACTGTGACAAAAATCAAAGTCACACATGGAATAAAAGGAGCAAGTATATTATTGGGGGCCTGGAGGAGGGAGGGCAAGAGGATAGTTGGGCCTGGAGAGGAAGGGCTGCTGTGGAATAAACTTCTAACATATCATAACTTCTCCTGGGCAAATGCTCCAAGTATACTTGGGGAACTCGTCTGGCAGAAATATTTTTGTGCCAGCTATTTTCTAGTTCAGTAGCAAAAAGTGTGATTTCCCGTCCTGACAATCCCTTAGCAAGGGAAGCCCAGTGTCAGAAAGCCCATAGGTGCCACTGCTGCACAACATCTGAGGTGACATTCTCTCCTACTGGGTGGCTTACTTGTTGCTGTCGCGGTACTCATAGATATGACATCCTTGAGGCAATCCAGTTTCATGGTCCAGAGTAAAGGCAAGCTTTAGCTGAATAAAGAGAGAAGAAAAAGGCAAGTTTTAGGCAGCATCCTCTATTCACTCCAACAGCTGGAATGAAAAAAAGAAAACAATCAGCAAAGTCATGTTCCTTCTAGTCAATGTGTCTGGAGAACCTGATCCTGCCAGCTCTGGGAAGAGCCCACACCTCACAGGTCCTTGTCACTGAGAAGGATTGTTCGTAGGACTCTACTTGTTCATTCTGCTTGTAAACAATGTATTTATTAAGTGTCTACTTTGGGCTACACCCAAGCTATCTGAGGGAAAACAGTGACGTGGGAGAGAGCAGCCCTTTCATGGGTCATAGGGTCTAGTGGAGAAGATAGCAATCAAATAACCACACCAGTGAATATATATATATGGGTAAAGTTCCAAATTAAATAGAGGTTCTCTGAAGCAAGAAAAATGTCCATATGGTTCTATGAAAACAAATAACTTGGCCTAGGCAGAATGGGGATAAGGGAAGGCGTCCCTCAATCAGGAGGAGAGGCTTCCCTAGATGGTGGGGAGGAGGCAGAGTGAGTGGGGACAGTTCTCCTGGGCAGAAAACATAGCATGTACAGAGGCCCTGGGCAGGAGCTACAGGAACTGAAGGGAGGCAAATGAAGCTGGACTCCAACAGATCCAGGGACACAGTGGGTGGTGACACTGGGGAGGAAGCCTGGGTATAAGATGCAGGGCCTTCTTGGCCACACTGGAATTTTTGGCCTTAAAGGCAAAGGAAAGAAAATGAAGGGGTGGATGAGGTGATCAGAGTCAGGTTTCGGCAGATCTCTCTGGCACGGTGTAGACCACAGCAGACCTCACAGCAGAGAATCCAAGTAGGAGCCTGCGGGAGGCAGCCATGGATGAGTCAGGGAGTGGCCACACAGCTGGATGGGGGTGGGAAGGTGGGCAGGCAAGATGGGGAGACAATGACAACTTAAAATATATTTTAGAAGTTATTAAAAGTAGAATTGATAGGATATGCCGATGGATTTGATGTTGGCAGTGGCAAGAACAGAAAAGAAAAAAATCAATGATAGTTCAAGCTTTTGATTTGAACAACCAGGCAGGCAACCGCATTTGGGGACAGGCAGTGTGTCAAAAATTTGATTTTAGACAGGTTAACTTTGAGATGTTCATTAACCTTTAGTTACAGAAGATTAGGCCCAGGGACTCTGGTACAGTCTTGGCTTCTCTCTGGATTCTGGGGTGAATGTTAAGGTGAGCACAGAACTCCCACAGAACTCAGAGAGGTTCAGTGTGTCTTGCTAGAGCTGAGTTGGTTATGGCAGCTTTGACATTTCCAAATGCAGAGCCAATTACTATATTTACAAATTCACTGGGTTTTTAAATCATCAGGGAAATTTTAACTAAAATTAACTGCACATTAGGAGGATACAATATTATAAATTTTTTTAAACTGTAAGGCTGTTAACACAGCTAATGATCTGCATCATTAGATACTGGAAGATTTTTCTCTTCCTTAATGGAAAGCAGCTCATAGGAATGGTTTGTCCTCTTACTGACCCAGATGAAAATACAGAAACAGAAACAAGCCCTTCTTTACCATCACGAAGCCAGGAACTGAAGTCAAAGGCATGTTTTCCCTACAGAGCCCTGCTTGGATCTTCTCAGACCTCTGCTTCAATAAAACAAAAAATAATTTTTTAAAGAAATGTATGAATTACTACCCTTTTCTCTTTATCTCTCTCTTTGCAGCTGAGGTCAGGCCTATACTCCTCCTGTCCAAGAGTTAGCATTACTTAAAAATTTTCACATTCTTTGATTTAGTGATTCCAGTGGATTGATGGCCTTAGAAAAACTATCAGAAATGTAGGAGAAAAGGTTTTATTCCTCAAACTGTTGCTCTCAGTGCTATTCACTGGAAAGACTCTGAAAGTCCCGCAAAAGCAGAAGGTTAAATAAACTATCCTATAGTCGCATATGGGACAACAGCAAACAGCCATTACATTATTTACAAAGAATTTTTACCAACCTAAGAAAGTACATGGGATGGATGAAATAAAGTGGGATACATCCTTGATCATACAATATACCATGAAAACTATTTACAAAAAAACAAAGACTGCACAGAAGAAAGACTGGAAGGAAAGACATGGAAATGGTAATAGTGCTTATCACTAGGTGGGAGGGGCCAGGTGATTGCTTTACTTTCTGTGCATTTTCCAAATTGTCCACAATGAGCACACATTACTTTGATATTGCATAAAATATCCTGCCAAGTGGCAAGTTGGAAATTAAAAAAACAGAAAAGATATTGCATAAAACACTAATGTGTTAATGGGTTTTCCCCGTTATTTTACAACTGGTGATTCACATTTCTTAGAATTCAGAATTCTAAGTCCTCCTGGGTTCTTTGTCTTTTGATCCCTGTTTTCAATATAGCTGGTCTTTGCTGAGTGTCCTGTGCCTATCTTACTAGCCACTAGACACAAGAAGTGTAGCATCCAGCTTCCCAACCAGTATCCAAGTATCCTTTCTGCTCTCTTATGAAAGGAGGCCCTGGGTCAGGAAGGACTGAGCCACTGGGCTTGAAGAGGGACACAAGGTAGCTGAGCTGGCAAGGCAGGCTGCACACTCGAGTGTTAGATGCCATTTTGTTGGAAAGAAGAAGCCATGGCAGGGTTTTAATCCAGAAGACAGGCCCATTCTGATGGTCAGGGAGAAAATGGGTTGAAGTGGGAGAGAGGCCTGATCAGAGGCTATTGGGAAGATAAGGATCTGGCTCAGCCTCAGTAGCACAGTGGTTACTGTGTCAGCTACATATACTGGGGCTGGCAGTTCAAACCTGGCCCGCGCCAGCTAAACAACAATGACAACAACAGCAAAAAATAGCCAGGTGTGGTGGCAGGTGCTTGTAGTCCCAGCTACTTGGGAGGCTGAGGCAAGAGAGTTGCATAAGCCCAAGAGTTTGAGGTTGCTGTGAGCTATGATGCCACAGCACTCTACCGAGGGTGACATAATGAGACTCTGTCTCAAAATAAAAAACAACAACAAAAAAAGATGAAGATCCAGCTTACAGCAGAACAGCAGAGATGGGAATGAGGGAGACAGTAAAGAGACAGGACTGGTGGGAGGTGGAAGCACATGTGTGTAGCCATGTGACAATGACGCCTACACTCTGCCTCCCAGCCCCCACTTGGTTCCAGATCTTCCATGACCAGGTAAAAAACAAGTGATGAGCTAGAAGCTGGAATCTTTACTCATGAAGGAAATGTGGGAAATTTAATTCCAAGGGGTTCTCAAAGTCAAAAGGCAAGTCAGTGGACGTGGTAATGGGGTGGAGTAGAGAGAGGACCGGGAGAGAGGACACTCGTGTTTACTGAATGGAGAGCTCATCTTTACTGACTGTTTACCAAGCCAAGACTTTCCTCTGTCCTGAGAAGCACTTCCCAAATTAGGTATTACTACTTCCTTTTTTTTTTTTTTTTTTTTTTTTTACTACTTCCTTTTTATAGGTGAGAAACTTGAGGCTAAGAAAGGTTAAGGAATTTGTCCAAAACACATTAGATTAGAACTAGAATATTAGCTCAAATTCATACTCTTTCCACCTTACCAGTGTCAGAGAGAATGTTTAAGACTCTCTGCCTTGGGTTGCAGGGTAGATAGTACTGCTACTCACCCTGTTGAGAAGGAACAGTGGGTTTGGGAGAAAAGTTTGAGTTCAGTGTGGGATGTTTGATTCTAAGGTACTCGAGCAGCTTCCAGTAGAGAAGAGCAACAGGCTGCTGTGTAGACAGCTCTGGCATTTATAAGTAATCTGGAGGCAAAAATTTGGGAGCCTTCAGCTGGTTTACTGGCGAGGACAAGACGGTCCAGAAACACTGAGTAGAATGAAAAGAGAGTGGTGGATAGAATCCTGTGAAATACCTACATTTAAGAGCTGGATAATGGATGGGAGAAGTGGCCATACAGCATTGAGTTACTATGTCACAGGAGCTGAAGGGGAGAGCATGCCTACTTCCAAGAGGTCAAGGAAGAGAATAAAGGTTTCAAACTAGAGATGCACTGGATTTAGCAGAAAAGACTCTTGGGGGGAGTGGTAGGAGCAGAGATCAAGGTGGAATGGGTTGAAAAATGAGTAGACAGGAGATGGGGAACGTTAATGAGTATTTTAGAAAATCAGACACGTAGTGGGGAAGAGGCAAGCTTAATGACACTGACGAGGAAGAGTGACAGGATGTGGAAGTAAAGCAGTATATCTGCAGATGGCAGAGACCTGTTTAAATGCAGACAGGTGGAAGGAACTACAGAGGGAGGTGTGGAAGGTGTGAGAGAGACAGTGATAACAAGAGGCAGGTCTCAGATGATGAGCAGGCAGAATCCAGGTGAGTTACAGAAGAATGTATTTTGCCCAAATTAACACAGAACTCAAGTGTGGGCCCCATTGCTGAACACTGGACTGCCCTGGCACCCCAGGTGTCAATGAGGTCAAGGACAGGAGTTGTGGGAGTCACTGGGTCAGGGAGTTGCAGGGACTGTAGGCAACGTTCAGAGCACAGGCTGTGTACCTGGCCTTGGAGATGGCCAAACACAAAATCTAAGGAGAAGTCAAGGAATGGGGATTTGAAGGTGATGGTGGGGTGTCTTCTGTGAGAGGTCTGATGTGCACTCAGGATGGTGATAATGCTGCTTCTCAGATAAAGCAATCCACAAAGTATGTCCTCACAGGTGTGCAGGTGTGCCGGTGGATGCCCACCATGTGCAAGGTTCAACAAATGATGAATGAGTCCAGGTGGTCTGGCAGCAGACAGGGATGCACACCTGGCAAGCATTTCCTCCTTCCTAGTGACACACGAGTTTTCTTTAGCCTCTGTCCAGGGGCTCCCAGGGGGAGCAGACTCAGTGACCTGGCTGATAGTTGGGAGGTAATCCCACATGCCTTTCAGTAACTGATCAGAAACCTAAGCCAGTCGGGGCATGTCATATCCTGGCCTCAGGAACTTGTTAAGGAATGGATACATGATCCCCACTAAGGCCAGTGA